AGAGAGAGAGAGAGAGAGAGAGAGAGAGAAGGGAAAAGATGGAAAAAGGAAGGCAGGAGAGAGAGAGGAAGGAGGGAGGAAGGGAGGGAGAGAGAGACTTCAAAATGATATAAGATTCAATGTTATAATTGTGTAAAGATGTATATAAATATAATTTGATTTCATATGAGCATATTATAAATTGTATTAGTTGTTGGAACATGTAAGAAATAATATTACATATGCAATTACAAGATAGATAGTGCTTATCAAAATTTACATTAAGTAGAAAATCTAATATCATGTGGTTGTTATGTGCTAAAATATTCTTTTAAATGTACACAAAAATATAAACTTTCAAGTTACTGATGTGTATAAAATCTTGTAATTACAATACATATAAACTAATATCCCACCTGAAGTTACTTTTCGAAAAAAATTAAAGTAATATGATATAAAAACAATTATTAAAAATATCTTTTTTATTGGGAAATATTTTTTTTATTGGGATATCTAAGTGAAATGTAAAAATCTTTAAGATGAATCTTTAAGATAAACCCAGTTAGAATCAAATATGTTTTTATGACAGTTCCTCACGTGTTCCAATGATAGCAAATAATTTGCATGAATTACCATGAATCCTTAACGTTGATAAATGCAGCAAATATCTTCCTCTCCTATTCCTGATTCAGACGCAAAAATTAAATACTGTATGCGACTACATGTCATTTTGTATCAATCTTCATTGTGACCCCTCCCCCCCCTTCAAGTTATGACATGGAATCTTAGGTGGCCCATACCTATAAGTGATTGTATCTTAAGCGAAGAGGATAGCGATTAAAAAAAAAAGCAGATTGTCGAGAAAAAGCATAGGTATATTAAAAAAAAGATACTTTGAAAATTTAGGATCGAAAAAATAAAGCAACGTAACAATATTATTTGATGAGTCATTACAGTCAGGGTTGGGCAATTTAAAGCTGCTAGTAGTTTCTTACGTATAGTACGTATGTATAATATGTATGTATAATATGAACAAATATATAAAAAAATGAGACTCGAAAGAATCTATCAGTGAAAAATATAAAAAGCCTATCAGAGCCTACATCAGCTGTTCGAACAGAAAAACTCTTCTTTTCGTGTGAATGTAACAAATAAAATAAATGAGTGTTTCAACCTTTCAATTCTTATGAAGTCTTATCAATATAAAATATAAATCAAAATTACATAAGTAACGCAAATTCCAAGATGTTGACAATTTAGTTCATTCTTCTTTATCCAAATTAGCTATGTAATGAATAGCCAAATGATCAAAAATATTAACTTATACAATAATAATATAAAAACTTACATAAAATAAAACCGAAGTCATACATTGCGTCAATAAGTAGAATCACAATCGCTCATCAGATTGTCAGATTTGCTATGCATAATATGTATAATACATATAAAACACATACAGAATTTTTGTCTCTTGTAATTTTTCTGTAAAGTTGATAGTATTTGAGTAAAAAATTCAAGACCAATATTTGACAGTTTTTTTCTAATTAATATTTTATTAACTATTGCGAAAATTACAAAATGGTAGAGGATTTTTCGATTCAGTTTAGTCCCCTCTATATACACAAAAGCGATTGGCCAAAATTTACGGACATCCTGTATAATACTTTTAACATAGGTATTATACATATAAATCATGTATAGTACGTTATGTTTTATACATGCTCAACCCTGGTTACGATAATATTATGATAACAAGTTTATTTGAAAGAGAATCAGAATAATCATAATAAATAAAATAAGAACAAAGTAAAATTAAAGGAAAGATTTTAATTAATTGATTTCAGTTAATTGATTGTAATATATATAATAGAAAAGAGATGTCTTTGGAAAAGGAACAAATGCAACAAGATTTGAAGGCATAAAGGCATTCATCTTACCAAATCTGAAAATTCCCAAAATCGAGTGCATGAAGAGGATTCGAAAGGCACGCAAGGACCACGTGATCGGCAAGGCTTTCACCCGGTAGGGCTCAGCGAGATGTCCCATACACATTGCAGTCACCAGCAATTTCACAAGATGCGCCACGACACTGCTTGCGCTCACCATGATCACCGTTGTCTCGTCGCGAATATTGCCTTTCCAAATAATTTATGATCGTCCAATCGAGAATAGTCAGTCGAATTTTCCATCCAAAATTGCCAGTGTCAATCTCACTTACTATTTACGAAATATAAGCAGTGTGAAGCAGTGATCAGCGCAGTGTGAAGCAGTGATCAGCGCAATGATGCCATTTCCAGATTTCCGGCTTCTAGCCATTTACGGCATTTTATGGCATGTGGAAGGGATACGGCGGCAAGCGTAAATATTTATATCATGAGCGGCGCTTCGGTGATCGGCCAGCTTCGCACAGCTTCGGGCGGTACACTGGTGGTAGAAATGGTAGAATTGGTAGAAGAGAGTTTAGAAGCTTTAGAGAGCGGTAGCAGGTAGCTCCAAGATGGAATTAGTGGAAATGATGGAATCCACTATGGTATTGGTAAGGGATATGATGAAAGTGTTGTAAATAATCAATACGCGAGTAATTCGATTCAGTGCCATTTAAAAGAAAAAGAAGAAATATTTAAACGTTTATATTCTCGAATGAATCACAACTTATGCTATATGCCAACATGGAAGAAAAATTGATTACGAGAAAGAGACTCGATTACAACAACAAGCTCATTCTGGCGCCTATGGTGCGCATCGGAACTCTTCCCATGCGTTTGCTCGCCTTAGATTATGGCGCAGATATAGTATACACTGAGGAACTAATTGACAGAAAACTACTTCGTTCGATTCGTCGAGAGAATGGTAAAATAAGCAATTCTTCTTTTGTTTAACTGGAGTGACGAATTGCATAAGATTTGTTTGTATATTATTATGCTGCGTTCCATTTGACGCTCACAGCATTCTTGGAATTATTTCATCCTTATATTTATCAAATTTAATATTAAACAGTAATAAATGATGTCGAATAATTATACAGTTTACCATTGAGCACTTCAACAAAATCAATAAAATGGTTATTATTGACGTGTTTTTATATGAAACGAAAGAATCTGACGAAAAAAGCGTCGCTCTGCCCTGTGAATTGAGACATTAAGCGTTAAAATTAACGACTATTGAGGTTAGGAAATCTGTTTGCCGCGAAATTTGTATATAATACTGCGATGCAAGCATGCACTGTACATGAGTTTGCATAGTAATGAATTTCGATTTTTCAGTTTACATGTGAAGCGACTTTCACCTCACCTTTCCCCTCCCCCCCCCTGCTTAAGAGGCACACGCTTCTATAATTGCACTGTTGCACATGAGTATAGTACTACAATTATAAAAATCGTGCGCTCCTTAAGCCTGGGGGGGGGGGAGGGTAAAACTGATGGAAGTCGTTTCGCGTGGCAACTTGAAAAGTTGAAACTCGAAATCGTGTGTGTGTGTGTGTGTGTGTGTGTGTGTGTTGTGTTGTGTGTGTGTACACGGGGATAGGAATGCCTATTCATACTTTCTTCTGTGTTTCTCATTTTTTCTTATGTCTTCTCTGATACGCGTGTAACTTCAGATAGGTAGGCATTCCTGTCCCCGTATGTACATACAACAATATAGATAGATCTCGTTTCGCCTCTGTGACAGATTTCTTAATCTCAATAGTCGTCAACTTTAATACTTATGTTATTTACATACTTATATACATATACTTAGATTATTCTATAATATCCTTTTTGTTTTCTGTTTTTTGCTTTTTGCTATTTTTTCTATTTTCTTTTTGTTTCTTATCCAGTTTTTTGTTTACGCTCGATATTAACAAATTTCGGAAGAAATAGGAAACATGTAGTAAGAAATATAATAAATGTCGATAAAACGATTACAAAGAAGGAAAAGCAAGAGGCAAAAAGCAAGAAACAAGAAACAAAGAACATATTGTAGAATAGGCTTTAATATCTCAGTTCGTAAGACAGAGCGACGCTTATTTCTGTCAGATTCTTTTATTTTACATCGAATAAACCTAGTTTTATTAATTTTTGAGATGCTCAGTGATAAACTATATTACCCTACAATTAAGTGATCTTGTTTCTCTAAAAAATGTATTTTTTTTTAAATCTAACTTGTAATACGTCCTCTTGCTAAGATTGTGATCGTGATCTAATTAGCGACATAAACATATACTGAATGTAATCTTGTTGATTGTCTTATTGTTAGAGAGAGATTTACTTAATATCATTATTTGCAGATGTCTTAGGCACTGTTGATTACATCGATAAGACAGATGGTACTGTGGTATTTCGTACTTGTTCTCGGGAACGAGAACATGTTGTTCTTCAAATTGGTACATCTGATTCAGCAAGAGCGGCTCAAGTCGCTCATATGGTGGAAAATGATGTTGCAGGCATAGACGTTAATATGGGTTGTCCAAAGAAATTTTCGATACTTGGAGGAATGGGTGCTTCTCTTCTTCGCGAACCACAGAAAGCGACCGATATTTTACGGAAACTGATTGAGACAGTAACTATACCAATTACTTGCAAAATACGCATTTTGCCTGATCTCGAGGAAACTCTTTTACTTTGCGATATCCTTGCCTCCACTGGTATCGCAGCTATTGCTGTTCATGGTCGTACTATTGAGGAAAGACCACAACATCCTAATCGTAATCATGTTCTCAAACAAATCTCTGCTAGACTTTCGATACCAGTTATTGCCAATGGTGGATCTAAAGATATTCAAAATCATTCCGATATATTTAGGTAACGTTTTGGCGCATGTCTATCAGAAGATTTCGTTTAATTTGTTAAGACATATTTCCACAGATTTAAAAAAGAAACAGGTTGTAGTAGCGTAATGCTTGCTCGCGCTGCTGAATGGAATTGCTCAGTATTTCGTAAAGAAGGTTCTCTTCCGATGGAAAATGTTATAAAGTCGTATTTAAAGCATGCAATTAATTGCGACAATTCACCTTCTAATACAAAATATTGCATACAGAATATTCTACGAGAATTTCAGGAATCTCCTCTAGGAAGAAGATTTCTCAATGCACAAACACTGGAACAAATATGGTGAATGTTTTATCTTTTTTATTTCTTATTTGTTTTTTTTTATTTTTATTCAATGAACTTTTTCAGTCAAGTGTGGAAATTAGATGATTATTACCGATCCAAAAGTGAAGAGTTTCAGGCTAAAGGTTTATTAGGTCGTTTTCAAGTAATGCCGGGAATTCTCGATAAAGATAACAATAGTATTTCACATAAAAGAAAAATTTATGAAGAAGAAGATGTTTCTCTAATGCGCTGTGCTTTTTTGAGAAACAGTTATATAACAGATTCGGAACTGCCAAAGACTAGATTACTTAAATGGACTAAGGAAAATCGTAAGAAAATGCCAATATATAATACTCGACAGGAGAGTAAACTCTTTTGTTCCGTTGTTACTGTTGATGGCAGAAAATATGGTTCCTCTTTTTGGTAAATTATAATAAACGAAAAATAATTTTTCTCTTTTTTTTTATTACATTGTATTTTTTTTTAGGGAAAAAAACAAAAAATGGGCCGAACAAGGTGCTGCTCTGGTATGTCTCTATTTTTTAGGAATTATCGATGAGAAAAGTCTTACCACTTGTAACATTCTTTTATAATATTTACTTTATTCCTTTTATTTATTGTACAATAAAAATTTCTATTAAAATCTCTTCTAGTAAAATCTTGCTTCGTGATATTGACTGTAGGGATGCAATAGATTGATAGATGAGAATGATTTATTGGATACTGGATATGTACAGTGGACAATGATTGCTGACACAACTTGAAAAATTTTGAGAAAAATCGTTTTTAATATAAATCTGATATTTCGGACAGTTTACAATTAAAACATTAAAGTTCAATCTACAATTGAGTAAATGTAGATGTTAGCGAATATAATGTTGTAAAGCATAATTTTAACTATACCGATTGAAAAATGGCTCAACTTTATTTTTCACGGCTACAACTGTGTAAAACGTAAAAGTGATCAGAACCAATCAGAGGGTTGCGTTCAGCGGACTCGACAATTGAGTGAATACTCACTGCTATTGATGTATTCGTCCAGATCTCAAATGCTGATTAGATGATCTAAAAGAATATTAATAACAATGAACGTTTACTCATTATGTGTCGTGAAGGCATATAATAAATTCATAAATTTGATTTCATAATATATATAATAGTAAAATGAAAATAGAATGACAGAAATAGCGCTAATAGCGTAATCTCTCTCATTCTTTACGAACACAACGTCTGTCCTATCTATTATAGTAAACAATCAATACTGTTATCGAAAGTGTATTTTGATTGGTTGTCATAATCTTACTAGAGCTGCGTTCGGAAACATCACCCGAGTGCCCCCATATATCGTTTTATCCCTATTCACCCAATGTTAGATAAGAATAAAGCCTATAGCACGATGCTTGTTTTTTTACTGAATTGCTAGCTGAATAACAGCTGTCAGAGTCAGCATCGCAACTATTGGGTTGTTCAAAAAGTCATAGCGTTTTTTCCAATAGATGGCGTTGTCCACGTTTATTTGTATGCGAGCGTGACATGAATGTCAAATGTTTACGCGCGTTTTGTTGTTGACACTCAATCTAAAAACCAAAAAAAAAGTTGACGCGATTTCGATCGAGTTTTGTGCTTACAATTGTGATTCATTCGAACATGGAGAATTTTGAAGAGCATATTCGCTATATTCTGTTTTATTACTTCAAAAAAGGGAAGAAAGCAACTGAAGCAAGGGAAAAATTGCGTCGAGTTTACGGCAGAAATGTCGTCAAAAAACGCCAGTGCCAGAACTGGTTCGCCCGATTTCATGATAGTGATTTTTCAGTCAAAGAGCTCATTGCTCTGATAGGCCTTCCAAGATTGACGACGATGAAATGAAAGCATTAGTACAAGCAAATAAACATTCAACGGTTCGGAAGCTTGCTGCCGCTCTAAAAGTGTCCGCTGGAAGTGTTCATGACCATTTGAAATCGCTAGGCTTCGTAAAGAAGCTCGATGTTTGGGTACCGCATGAGTTGAAAGAAATTCATCTGATGAATCGCATGAATGTCTGCGATCAA